CAAATCTGAGAGTGGGGGTGGGGAGGGTGGTGTTTGTTTTGGCTACCGAATTTGCTTCTATTTCTATGATCTAATGAGAATTTCTAAAGGATCATTGGAAAGGGGATACCAAAAGGAAATCGTGAGAAAGTATACTCGGCTTTGTTTGAAACTTATTACACCACGGCTTACCAAAAAGAAAAAAAAGCATAAATACAGTTGAACCCCAACTGTTTCATAGCTATGAGTACTAGAGAGCATAAAAAGCTGCTCAAAACTGGGAAAAATTGCAAATTTGCCATTTAAAAAGTGTTTCAGGGTATGAAGAGATTTTGCTCTCAAGTAGTTTAAGGCCTGGGACTAAGGGGTTTACCTGTGGAAAATTATTTATTGGCTAAAACTTCGGCACAGAGATCATGGCATCGTCCTTAACATTTTATAGGAAAAATATTGTGTTAATAAGTCACGTGACATATTACGTGACCATTTTGCTAAAAATCTTAAATTATTGACCAATTAGTGGCCGGTTTAAGAAAAAAAATCGAGCGATAACATTTTTCTAATTCTTATTAAATATTTCTAACACTTCAGGTTTCGAATGACCATCCATTGCACTTCAATAAAAAAAATTATAAGGGAGAACATCATTTAAAATGCCCTAATTGGATCTTGAATTATTTAAAACTTTAATTCTTAACTTTGCGTGCATTCATTCCAAACGTAAAAAGTTAGGTATGTTTATCTTCTTTCAGAAATACCAATTTGTTTGTCCAAACAAAGTAAATTCGCCACCATTCAGTTTTTGGTCACCTGACATGTCACGTGGCCATGATTAAACTTTAAGGCACAAGAAAACCTCAAGATTTACTTTTGGCCAAAAATTCATTTTTTTCTAGATCTCCTAGCGAGAGATATTGCCAATCATTCATATGCTCCAAACACAACTTTGACCCAGGCCTTAAACGTCTTGAGTAATTTTTTTTTCTTTTAGATAAGAAGAAATATGGCGGCTATTTCTAATTTAGCCATATGGTCTTTGCACACCTTTATGGATTCTTCCTTTTATTTTCATGATTTAAAGCCGTGCCAAAAAAAAAAAAAAAAATAGAAAATCGGTAAACTGAAATATGTCCTAGCACAGTTTTAGCAACAAGTATCTACTTGCAGAATGCTATAACAAGAAACAAAAAATTTTGTCTATAAAACGACGGAAAAAAATAGCAAGGCAAGAGCCTCCTTGACTCCTAAACCCTACCTATAATGGCCTATGCATGAAGGCTACTCCCTAAAGAAGTACCTTTTCAGGGTTTAGGTATATGCAAGAGTAGAGGTTTCACTAGTTGAAGTATATGGAAGGGAAGGAAAATCTGTCATTGCGGTCTTGAAAGGACCTAAAAAGGTTAAAAGACTATGAAAAGACAAGAACCGTTCTGGTTGAGAGATTTATTCATATTTAAAAGACGGTCCATTTACAGTAGCTTAAAAAGAGCAGGGGCACCCAACGAGAACATAGTTCAAAACCACTTAAACATAGAATTGTTAAACGTATTTTAGTATTTAAACGGTAGATATAGGCATATTTTTATCCCCTAAAAATTTTTCATCTGTTCGGATTTCCTAGCTGATAGTCTAGTGATCCGAACATTATAGGGATCAAAACTTACCTTTCCGAAAATTTCAGCCAGGAAAAAGGCTCCCGAAAATTCTAGGTGACCTTTTTAAGGTAAAAATCCGTTAAAAATAGGCAATTATACCATGATGTTCCGAAAATTCTAGATCTCAAATCGTCTTCCGAACAGATATTTTTCCGAAAATTGTCGTTGGGTGCCCCTGAAAGAGGTGCAGGGGTACTATTTGTCAATGGAAGGTATACGATCCCTTTTCTGTCAAGGAATGGTATAAAGAGTATAATTTTTTTTTAGTATTCCCGGGTCCAGAAGCTGCAAATTTAGGAAATACAGTAAAGCAGCAAGGATCTATGCGCAACTGGCCAAACGGGTTTTAACCATGAAAATCGCAAATATGGTAAGGAAATCGTTAAGGCAAATGACAAAGGCAAATTCCGCAAATTTAGCAATTATAGCAAAGAAAAAGGACGATTTTCTAAAACTGGCAGTGCCTAAAAGGTTGACGTTATCAAAATTACAAATGAAAGTGGAAATTATCCTCAAATTAAATGAACAACCTAAGCGGCTGAAAAAGAACCGGAAAAAAAAAACAAAGAAAAACAAAGAAAAACAAATTTAGCAAAACAGACAAAAGTTAAGGCGCACGACATAAGACATTAAAGGGAATAGAAGGGTTTCGTCAAGCTGCAAATTTGCTAATAATAATAATCATCATCTTCATTGAGGAAACTTTTTCATAAAAGATATGGTTTTCAAAAAGGACCTCAAAACTAGATATATATTATAAAAACAAAAAAAAACTATAAAATTGCAAAGGGATTAAAAAGATACAAAAAATGCATAAAAAATTAAAAATAAGTATAAGTAAAAATTAAACGTAAGTAGCTATATTAAAAACTTAAAAACATTACGTTTAAAACTATTTACATTCCTCGAGTCTTTGATCGTCTGACTGAGGGAGTTAAAATCAGAAACGGCATGATATTGTGTTCTTTGCTTCCCCCAATTTCTTTTGACACGTGGTAATCTAAAATTGCCTTTGTTACGTGTATTATGCCTATGAAGTACGTCTTGTCTAATCAAGTCCATATCGTGATTAATTAGGCCATTGATGCATTTGTATACGTGTACACACCTTCTTTGAAATCGCCTTTTCTCTAGAGGCAGCCACTTGAGAACGGCTAATGCCTCAGTGGAGGATGAGTACAATGGTCTATTTAAAATAACTTTAGCGGCCTTATTTTGCAAAACTTGCAAACTAGACATGAGGGTAATATTATGTTTATCGCCCCATACTAGATCAGCATATTCAAAAAGGGGCATAACAAGACTTTTATAGAAAAGTAGATGCGCCCTGAAAGGCAATAAATGCTTTATACGCTTGAGAAGCCCAAGCCTCTGATTGATTTTCCCAGTTAGGTGTTCAATGTGATCAGTCCATGTGAAATCCGAAGATATATGTATACCGAGGTATTTAAAGCTGCGAACATTACTTATACTATGATCTAAAATTGAAACAATCAAATCTACTTTGCTTTCGCGCTTCCTATTACTACCGATAAGCATGCATTTAGTTTTGTCCAAATTTAAAGTCAGTTTGTGATCATGAAGCCATTTCGCCACACCCAGTAGATCGTTATTTAACTTATCACTCAACTCCTTTGAGGATGTACCATAGCAATAAATTACAGTGTCGTCTGCATAAAGTGACGCGTAGCAGGAGTTAAGCACATTTGGCAAGTTATTTATGTAAATCACAAACAACAGAGGCCCTAGAATGCTACCCTGTGGCACCCCATGCGTGACTGGAAGTTCCTCAGATAACTCATTTCCACATGATGTGCGCTGTTGTCTACCAGTTAAGTAAGAACGGAACCAATGAAGAGCTGTTTCAGAAAGGCCGATCTCGGATAGCTTGCATAACATTATTTGATGGTCTACCGTGTCAAATGCCTTGGTTAGATCGATGAACACGGCCCCGCAAAGCTTTCCTTGTTCCATGTTTAAGAGCACTTCATCAGCAAATGAGGTCAAAGCTGTTGTAGTTGAGAAACCCTTCCGGAAACCAAACTGCTTGTTGGACAATAAATTATTGGTAATCAAGTACTGATACAACTGCAAGTGTACCGCTCTTTCCAGAATCTTGCTTGCTAAGCGTATCAAAAGTACGAGGGATTTTTCCGGCAACTGCCAAGACGATTGTAAACCAAGAGCTAAGCGCCAATCATTTATCACCATGTAATGCATAAAACCTTCTTGGCCTTTTCTTTAGAATTTTGTTAAATTTATTATTGTTGCTATTCTTGCGATATTTATTACCCATTCGTTTCAGATAACAAGGAAACTTCTTGTTACTTTTGCGATTTTTGCGAAATTTGTAGACTTCTTGAGGCTCTTCTTTGTGTTTTGTCTTTCTAAGTCTAGAATTTTGTTAAATTTGATATTCTTACCTTTCTTCCAATAATTGTTACCCAGTCTTTTTAGATAACAAGGACATTTCTTGTTGCTTTAGCGATTTTTGCGAAATTTGCTGACTTCTCGGGGCCCTTACTCCTAGTGGTTGCGTTTCCTCTTTCTGAGTCTATAATTTTGTTAAATTTGTTATTCTTGCTATTTTTTCGATATTTACAAGGAAATGTGTCACAAAATTTTCTTATGAATCATTTTTTTGGCTAAAATTGCGAAAATAAAAAAGAAATGGCTAGCAAATTTTTGCCATCTCCAAAGTTAGCAAGGGAGAGGAAAGCCAATTTATGGCCAAGAGGTCTGCTGAAACAAGAGCAAATAGAAAGATTGAGATGAGATTAACTCTCACGGGATTGGCTTGCCTATATAGTCCCTGCACGGCGTCTTCCCAGGCCTTCTCGGTTAATGCATTTTGGTGACGTGTCCGAGACCCAAAAACTCGCGCAGACCGCCTGATCCGAAACGCATCAGCGGCTCGCAATACAAAAAAAAATGGCTAAAAAATTTTTGCAATCTCCAAATTTAGCAAGGGAGAGGAAAACCAATTTATGGCCAAGAAGCGGGCTGCATCTACCATTTTGTTCTCTGAAGAGAACAAAATGAGAAAGAAAGAAGAAAAAGGCAAGTTATGGACCGTACAATTAAGGCATAGATATATGAATATCCCTACAAAGTTTCCGTGAAATTGTCCCCGCTAGTTTCGTACTTTCCGGGGGCGCCCCTGGTACTCTCATTTCTTCGATGAGAAGATTGAGGGGTTTATTGCCTATTTACGTACACACAATCTGTATTTAATCATCGACCCCCCTAGGAGTTTTTCAGATTGAAATATTCAATCGGTGGAAGCAGATCAATAACTCACCTCTTTTTCAATTGCAGCCGGTTGTTAATCCTTGTTTTTCTTCCTTTTTATTACTGTTATTTATAGCGTCTGGTTACAGTACCTCTTCCAAGTCGTTTGTGTTCTCTCTCCTGGATAAAGAAGGGCTTGCACCATTTGAGAGCATGGTGACGAATACATCATTTTCGGTTTACCGTGGTTCAAGTTGTGGTCCAACATTTGGTGGGGGGCATGACATATACATTGCTGATAATGCCAATCAGAATGCTAATTCCTACACTAATTTTGGTACCTCTTACTCTCTTCCGAATGGAGTTACCAACAGTTCTACAATCCTGGCTGGAACCCGTTACTTTTCACCTGACGAGGTTGAGGTATTTTATCTCGCTTGAGTTCTGTTGACCCCTTGATTTCCATGCGCAGAACTCGTTTGAAATCAATGAAAAATTCACCCCAAAAATCTTTTTAAGATATATTGCAAAGCAGATCATCGAAAAGGCCCAAAATTTTGAGTGGTTATAAGGTACGGAGCCTTAAGATCCGAGGACGGTCGCGTTGGCGAAAACGCCGCTTACTGTTACACCCCTTTCTTTTGATATTCAGTGAATTTTGTCAAATGTAGGAGAACTCTACTGAACAACCATTTCAAAGTTAAGAAAGAGGAAGAAAAGTTCATCTTTGCTTGTTTGCGTCTTCCAGAAACGTAAAATAGATTAGGGATATTGTACGTCGTAGTCGTGCAATCGGACGGGCGGTAGAAATGTACAAAAAGGCGTGATGCACGCGCAAAGTCGGAGTGATTAGTAATCTATTGCTTTAATTTCTTGACGTTTTCGCCGCTGCTGCCGTCATTGGATCTTTAGGTCCTTAATCTAAACGGTGTCCCACGGTAGGCTTTAACAGATTATGCTCGAAAAAGTAACATAATATATATGCTATTAGCAGTGCTGGCATATTTCTAAAATGATGCCAATAATGATGCTAGTTTTTGTAAACTATGCTCATTTTAACAAAGAAAAAAATGCAGAAATTATGCCTTTACTATTTAGTTAAAAGTTGGTAAAAACATCTCATTAGTTATATGTAAGACTAATTTAAATGGCAAAAAAATTTACCCTGTTTACATCTAGAAACCTTTAAGAGTGCATTCATTGTCTGACAACTTGGGTAATCATCTTGGGTAACCGTGCTTGTTATGCACATGCGTTGATTCACGTGGAAAGAGACCTGGGTCACCTCCTGTTAGACCAAGGTCCCATGAATGTGATGATATAAGCAGAGAGAGATTGACTTTGTTACTTAAATTTGCCTGTAACTTTCTTGGTTGCATGATCACTATGACAATTTTGTGCTGCAAAACGTTAACCAGCCAAAAGTGCAAATTAGGCTACCAGTGCTTTTTTTCGAAAAATAGTTGATAATTATGCTCGTGATGACAAATTATGTCAAAAGTTATGCAAACAATTATGCCAGCACAATCTATCAAAGCCTAGCTATGCGACGGTCTGCGACACGATCAGAACTCTGTCTGCGTCTAACGTTTTCAGACATCCCATGGCCAGGACGTACATCAAAGGCAGATATGTGAATTGTTAGCGACTGCAGTCTTTCCAGGTTTGTTTGAATCTTTGTGGCCGAAACACAGGTCTGTCGACGAGGCGACGCAGACCGGTCTCCGATCAGTGTTCCAGATTACATTTACCGTGTCATTTACGCTTCGTTCACACGTTTTCAGATATTTTTTAAAACGGAGAGTTTTTTCTCGATTTCTCTCTCTCTCTCTCTCTCTCTCTCTTTTTTTTTTTTTTTTTTTCTAAAAAACAAAACAAAAGGATTTAAAAACCGTGAACAGGTAGGGTATTTGAATCGTTTTCGCCTTCTACAGAAAAACGAGAAAACGAAGGAAATACAATGCATGATAACATCCCTATAGCATCCCTTACAGAGCATACGTAACGCTAGTAGTTCAGTGTTTATGATGTTTTTATACAACCTCTTTAAGGTTCCTAGAGGCTGCGATCCTTTTGCTGACCAAAAGGATTACGGCCTTTGGGAACGAGATTGGTTTTTATAGTATCTTTAATACTTTTTCGTCCGTCCACTCGTAAACGAGAAGCTGGTGTTTCTAAAATCAGTCTACTTCGGAGAACGTTTCTGAAAACCTGCATTTTGGTGTCCGCAACACCCACGCCTTTTTTCAAGTGGACGGAAGGCTAAAACGGAGAAAAATACGTACACTGCACATATCAACTTGTGAGACAGAGTCAATCTGGAGTCATTGCAACGCAAAGGCTGTTATTGATCGTAGTAATCAAGCATTTAACCCTGTGCAAATTTTAGTTCATAAGTTTTGAAAAAGAAAGAGGAGCTTTGCTAATTCTGCATGGTGTGAGTTTTAGTTGCATTTGCATAAAGCTTACAAAGGTATGAGGTTCTTTCTAGAAGAGCTAGCTATAGCTTGGGGAGCTACCTATTACGCATGCGTCACCTGTTATACAAAATCAGTGCACGATTACAGCCAGTTATTAATGACTCCAACCTAGAAATATTAAGACTTGTGGTGACTAATCTCGTACCCAGATTTTACATCTGTCTTGGCCGTGGGAGATCTGGGTACGAAATTAATGCAGTCAGGTAATGTAACTAAGGGTTATATTTCCAGGTGTGAAAGTGTGACCTAAAGTTTAGTCAGGCTAGGTCCTAGGCGTTCCGTCTTGCCCAGTTGTTGTCGCAAAGTATGGGAAAGGGTGAGCGCGTCTCTCCCCTCTCGGTTGTATCACAGCTCACGGCAGAGTCCAGGTTTGATTGAGCCAAGAACGCCTTAAGGCCTAAAGGTTGTATTCACACTATATTGGATAGCTTTTGCACTGGCACGAAAAACATACCGGATAGGGCTTCTGTTCACACATAAAAACGGTGATTTTAGCGCGCTTTCTGTAACGGGGTGAAGCTACCCCTCCCCGATCTCAAACGTAGAGAGTCACATATTGGATATGCGTTCACGCTATACCCAGCTTTTCATACGGGTATGAAATTAACGGTATCCGTTACAGTGTAAACAAGCCTTTGTTGAAGTCCTGTAACACGAGCTCTAACCTTAACAATAAAACCCTCAGTCGCGCAGCTGAAACTTTAATTTAACCTATCAATTATCAGTCGTCGTTGTATTAAGCTGAGATTTATTAACTTGTTTGTTGTAAGCCCAAGTACAATATTAAGTTGTTTTTATAGCAGAGCATGGAGCCACTTTTCTTAGTCCCGAAAAATATGTATATGGATCACAGATCGAGTAAAGTCTTATGACGAAATAAGTTAAGCAGGATCATCGATCCGCGAAGAAAAAACGTAGTATTGTATCTAAACAATAAAATGGATAATGGCTAAATGCAAAATTCAGTATACCTACCAATAACTGAGAAACTAATTTCATAAGAGAGTGTATTCGGCATACCAATCCTATTTCAGAAGATGAAATTATCATCCGGTAAAATTTCTAAAGAGGAATACCAGCACTAATTTTCGGGAAAAAAATAAGGAACAACAGGAAAAACACAAAAACAAAGGACGGCTTTGCACGTCGACTCCTCGAAGCTTATAATTTTGATGCTTTATTCGCCATAACCTTATAATGCCCTTTGAATTTCTACACGTGAGACTTTTTACTTTATCAAATATGTATACGGGACGGATTGAAATTTCAATACATGGGATTTGTGTGGCGATTACACTCTTCAAGGTACATTTTATTACCTGACATGGAGAGATCGATATCGGTTAAATTATGTGAAAGTTTTCACCTGTCAGGTTACGAATGTTCCTTGTATGACATTATTCATATGAAGTCATTGAAAGCTCTTGGACTCAACACGTGCGCATGCTCGCGAGAGCCATTCCACTGCACCTCAACTTTCAAGACTGTGAAAACAAGAGCAAATAGAAATCAAAGATTGAGATAAGTTTAATTCTCACGGGATTTGGCTTGCCTAGTCCCTGTACGGCGTCTTCCCATGCCTTCTCGGTCAATGCATTTCGGTGACGTATCCGAGGCTCGGGCCACTTGATCTAATTAAAACGCATCGGCCGCGCACAATAATGAGGCAGCTTGAGTCCTAGGGCGGACTAGGCAAGGGTTTGGCTTGGTTAACAAATTTGGCCGTCGTTCATTGTTTTGGAACCAAGGCCCAGCGACATCATGTAAAAACACTCCATATATGTCAGAGACGAGCTGTCTGAAAAAATGAGAGTACCCATACATTAAACTTTGGCTATATTACAAGCTGGGCGCATAAAAAACAAACAAACAAACAAACAACAACAACTCTTCTACCATAAAAAACGCACGTTGTAATAAAGAGCACTTTCTACATCAGCTTCTTTTTTTGTTGTTCGTTTTGTAATGTAATGTAAATATCGCTATCTGGGATAATTTACAACACTGGTTGGGGGACTTTGCCTGACTGCTTAAGGTGGAGTTTTACAAATAATGAGGGAACTAGTAATGATGCCCCCATACATGAGTGTGAAAGTGAGATAGACCACTACACCGGGCACTACGTGCCCTAATCTTTTCAAAAAGTGTGTGGCTTCTTTGACGCCCCACAAATTTATTATATGTGCAAGGGCTTGTGATACGGGGCCTAAAGTTTATCGTCCTTATCCGAGAAGACTAAGAAGTCAAACCCGCGTTTGCAGATGTTATTACAAAGGCAGCGCGTTCTCTTCAGTTATTTAAAGAGCCTGAGTGTCGGTCCGGCCGGGGTTTAAACCTACGGCCCTTCGCTCAGCAGACTGGCGCTTATCCCATCACAGAGCTAACCGGGCGGCGGTTTTGATGCCTTGTAGAAACCCCTGTGTTCCTTAAGGTGTTTCGATAAAGTTTTTCAGAGGCCATACCGATATTTTTCAATCGCTTTAAAGGGGTTTTTTTCCTTGTGCGATCGCTATAAAATTTTCACCAGTAATTGGCTATGGATTGAAATTTGTGAAAATGTAGTTTTAAGTAAAATCGATATTACTATGACAATAATGAACAAAAAACTTTGAAAAGATAAAATCCGAATTTTGTGAGATCTAGACCATCTACCGAAAATCCAACACTAGGAACTTAAAGTTTGGTGTTTTAGCAAGCAATGTCCGTAAGAAAAGAAAAATTCTGTACGTTTGAATTCGACTGAAACGAAAATATATTTCAAACCTTAAATTTATAGCCGTGATAGATCATTTAAAAAAAACGTTATAAATGACTCAAATTATTCTTAAAGTGCTACTACGACGAAAATTTTTTTTTTGTTTCCGAGTTTTTTTAACATAAATATTTTGTATATGTTCAAAATTATACAAATAGCGAAAAATTGGAACGATACTTGCGTACGGGGGCTGCAAATTTCCCACTGAAAAGTGTGTAAATTCCGTCCGCCATTACAAAGTTCGCAAAGCAATAGCCCGCGAGATCTCCGCAAAGCGGTCGTGCGTTTGACCACGTGATTTATGCATTGTGACGTAGAAACATCAACCAAAAGATTCGCATTTGGGAAAAGTTTGTGAGTTTAGAGCCTTTTAACAAGACGTTTAAGATGTCATCTTCGTCGGGTTCCTCTTCCTGCACATCTGAAAGTGATCTAGAAAGTTTTACAGTTGACGAAGTGATTGGGGAATTGTCTGAATTTGCGCCGTACGACGACAGTTGCGAACCCCTTTCTACCGAGGAAGAAGCCGTGGACTACAACGAAAGAGTTCATCGCGAAGAAGAAGAGGAACAACAGTTTCAACGAAGATATTCGGGAGAGGTGCCAGCGAATGAATGGTATGGTATTATCATGGAATGTAGATTTATATTTTTATTTTCCAATTTCAACATACCCGTCGTTAAATCGTGCGCGTGACGAACGCGACTGTGTGTTTTGTTTAAGTTTACAATTTCGTTGCTATGTGATTAGCTGTAGTCCTGATTTTATGCGATAGTTTTATTGAAGAGGTCAGACAATTAATAATTTTATACAGACGTATTTTTCTTGTGTTTGACGAATTTTTCACATTATTTTGCGGGTGTTCGTGTTCGAACTGCTCTGTCAGCCTTGTTACAAAAGTGCAGGAGTGCATTTGCTGCAAAGAGATCGATCGCTGCGAAGAGGTCATGGAAGAAGCCATTGGAGACCGGACCGTATGCATAACCCTCCATCCAGGGTTTGAAAGCGTCTGCTTAAACCGCCACGTATTAGAAGTGGCTGCACTGGGCCTAAAAACGCGAGCTGGAAAGTCGTACACAACTGTTCGTGGGCAAAGCAACAAAAGTGATGATGAGTAAGTTGGGGTATTGTTGACTTTGTATCGGAACGATCGAACCTTACATAGCATTGAATAATTGATACATCTAAGCTTATCGCCGTGGACTGATCTCATAGAATCACATTTTTTATTTTCTAAATGGCTTTATTGCCCCAACTGCTTATTTTTAAAAGGAGTATTTATTTATCTCCATCCAATCCCTCCTTGAATTAACAGTGATCTCATTTCTCTAACTAGATTCCTGAGGTCTGTGACCTATCGCCAATTTACAAGACTGCTGTGGAGTTATATTGGTAGTTTCAGGCGATAACCCTTGCCCTGTTGTGCCTAGAATAAAATTAGGAAACAATTTCTGAGTCAAAATGGCCATTATCGTGGATTCGAAGATGAAGACAATGAATAATAAATGCACTGTTTGTTCTTGAAGTGTGTCATGTATGGCATTGGGGCCAAGAAGGACCTACAGTAGTTGCTTGAATACTTGTCCGTAAGCACTTAATTTTATGGGCCAAACTTCAGAATTCTCAGCCACTTACTCGCTTTTTGTTGAATGACACACTTGCCCACTGTGTGAAGCCCTGTTCTTCTAGCGTTCAGTTAAACTCAAGCTTAGTGGCTGGGAATTCCTATGTTGCTCCAATTTTCATGTACACAAGAAATAAAAATTAAATCGAATTCAGCCTGAATTTAATTACAGTTTTAATGTATTGTTTCTTTCTTTTCACCCGGCTCACAGAGCACTGCAAAACTTAATAGCAGGTTACCTGCTGGAAACTTTCCTAGCAGGTCTGGTTGACTCTTCCAGACTTTTGTCTGGCTACAGTTTCTGCAGAAACTTTCTACGGTTAACAAGGTACCTGTCTGTGATACAGAAAGTTTGGGTTTTGAAAAGAAGCACAAGTGGCAGAACTGAAACAAAAGAAGAAGTTTGGAAAGGAAAACAATTCCCTTCGGTTCCTCTCGAATGTTTTTTCCTTGTAAATCCAACCTGTAAAAAATGATTGAAAGGAAATACTCATTTAATCATAGCATCTGAAATAATAAAATAACAATAAAAAAATGATTATCATTTTTATTGTTTTTCTCAGGGTGTTGCCAGTTTTTCAACTTGTTGTAAACCTGGCTAATTGTGGGTTAGGATTTTATTCTCACATACATCCTGAAAAATGCTTTTTTATAATAATTCTGTTGATTGCACACATGACAACTTTGAGCCCTTAAGCTATCTAGCCCACCCCAACGATGCATAATTTATTACAAGTGGTTGAGTGGACAAACCAAACATTTTTAGTCCTGGGACTTCCAGTCTATGGGCTGCGTATGCCTCTTCTTTTTTTTTTTTTTTGCAATTCTTATCTGAGTAAATTAAAAAATAAATTTCATGTACTCTTGTTTCTAAATAGATCCTCTCATAATGGCAGTTATTTTTAGGCCTAAATCACTTCCCAGAGGATACTTAGAGCTAAGATGTTAAAATGCAATAAATTTTGCATCTTTGTACCTTGGGTTCTGATGAGTCTTCACCGAGTCATCATCTTCCTTTAGTTTTTTATATGCATCTTCGATTTCTTCAGGACTCCATGTAGGGTCTTCATCACACTCAAACTCCTCATACGCGTCGTCCTGCATTTCCTGCTCATCTTCTGATTCGTCCTCTGGCCCTAACTCTGTCTCATTTGTTACTGGCCATGGATCAGTTTGAATAGCTTAAAAAATGGAATTTAAAAAATTCTATCACCATTAAAATTTTAATTATTATTAAATAATCAAATACTGATAAAATATAATAAAAATATAAAGACAGGCAGTTATGCCTATATGACTCGTCAACATCAATTATTGTTGACTCACCAGCATTCACCATCAGCAACTGCTTCGGCTCTTGTATGCTCTTAAAGGTTTCAACCCACTGATCTTGATTGGAGATTAACTTACTCTTCAGTCTTGTGACTTTGCCCCTTAACTGAGTCACCTCACTCCTCAGGGTTTTGCATGTTGTGCAATTCCCAGCATGTCCAGTTGGAGTATCCTACAAAAAACAAACTTTCAACATTAATACAGGCTGTAATAACAAAACCTTAAAATTTTTTGTGTTTTAGTATTGTTGTAAAATAACTGCACATGTAGTTTTCTATTGTTATGATAATAGAAAGATGCAAATAAACATTAATTAGAGTTATGCGCCTACCATAGAAACCTGTTCAAGTTCAGGAATCGTTAATGATTCATCAATCTACATAACTTATCCATATCCTGCACTTTTTCCATTCCCTGAGCCTCCAGGATCTGCATGGTCTCAGTAACCTCATCAGTGCCTGAAATCCCTTGGCTCTCGAGAGCTGTCTTATCACCAGGAGTACCTAGGACCTCTGAAGCCATCTCAGCATCAACACTTATCTCACCCGTCTCAGTCTCAGGGATGCAGCCCTCCTTTTCAGGATTTACCTCAAGCAAAGAACCCTGACTTGTATTCAGAACACCCTCGACTTCTGGAGACTCCTGAGGGTTGAGACTGGGAGCCCCCATATAGTGTCAGCACTCTCCTCAGGTGCAGAACTTCCTTTCAAAGAGATCACCTCTTCTTCAGGATTGTCTTCGTCCTCTGTATCCTCATTAGTAGTTTGACCAGCCAGAATTTCATTTAGTAGCTAAAAATGAAAATAGGTACTACCATTTTTTACATCTCCCCTTCAAAACAAGTTTAAATTTGAGCTTTATGTCGATGTTTTCAAAACTAGAAATGGAAGCAAGGTTTAACCACATCTTTGCCTTAAAATGTATGCATCATTTGCAGACAGTGAAAATAGAATTAAAATACAAACGAAAAAAAAAACCGCAAACAGTAACTGAACTTAAAATGTAGAAATCAGACTAAGTCCATTTTTCGTCGATTTAAAAGACTCGCGTGTAACTCTTAATTTGCTGTAAGAGTTCTTGGAGGGAAGTTTGGAGTACTGTCAAATCTCAAAGTAACAGCAAGATAATCTCTCAAAAAATAGAGAGCCGGATTTCTATGTAGCTTCACTTTTTCTAAATTTTACGCTTGAGTGGAAAGGTCTGGGAATTGGGGAATTGACTTCTCGTCCACTCAGCGCATATGCCCGTTTTACTATAACTATGAGAAGAAAGCAGAAAAGTATGAAAACACATGCAACAGTATGGGAGGTCCAAATAGTCAGAGCATTCATTACACGAATATTGACCAACGATGCCAGAAAAAATCATGTCACAGGTAAATGGGGAAATAAATATAATGGTGATAAGCACAGCGCAAATACATTGTAATTTCACTCACCGATCGTCGACTCCGCTTTGATAGTGTTTGAGAGGATTTTTTCCAAATGGTTGGAAACGTCCCCTTCTTCAAATTCCTTTTCATGTCTTTCATCGGAAAAGCAAGCGTAAAACAATCCCTTGTAAAATGCTCCGATCACACAGCAAATTCTCCCACTGGGTTGAAATCCTCCCGATGAATGGACACGAACCTTTTCCACTTTAATCTAACGCTGCCCGAATCAGGAGAATTATGAATAGAAATCCCCAATTCATCGTTCTTTACGTTTCCACAGTCCTGAACAACACAACGTCTACCAGGCATACTTTCGCTTTAAGTCAAAAAAGCGAAGAAAGAACCTCCAAAAGCTTCCAAAAATATCTCGTCCTGCATGCGAAATTAGCCACGTTTGTTTGCCTTCTTTTGCCGCGTTGATGTTTCTACGTCACATCTCGCCCCAACTCCTTCAAATACTACTCCCGGTCATTTTTTGAATCGAGTAATGGCGGCAAGACATTTACGAAAATTGTCGTGCAAATAAACACACTTCCAGATCACATTTGGACTCCAAACTTGGCACGGTAAGTCACTTTTACATACATTTTCGAAATATGTAATCAAAAACAAATTCCCAAATTTGATCGTAGTAGCACTTTAAGTAGCGTCAGAATGCTACTTAATATCATATTTCGAAGCTAGGAAATTTTGGTGTATTTTCGTTGTTGATATCTTAAAAACTAGCCTAACCCATTTTCTCACCACCTGTATAAGTGCAACTTCGTTAAAAATTTGGACTTTTAGCACTTTTTGGTATATCTCTGAAACGACTTGAACGAATTTTTTTAAAATCTCTTCACATAATCTTCGCAATGTATATAATAATGTCTGAAACTTTCATTAACATTGATTCACTGCAACACCTTGAAATTTCAATCTTTCCAAATTACTGCGGACAATACATATATCCATGACTAGCACATTTCAGTGTGAGCATTGTCAATGTTTTACATTCAAAAGATGCGATAAATTCAAACTAAAATGTAACAAGTCATGCAGATATGTACAGTGCGCATTGTTTTGGAAAAATTAGCAGAACGTCAAGACAGTGAATGTTGTAAAGCAGATTTTTGACAGGTTCGTAGGATAGTTTGTCTTGAAATTTTAAGATGTTACAGTGAATCAATCTCAATGAAAGTTTCAGACCTTATTATATACATTATGAAGATCATGTGAAGAGATATTAAAAAAGGTTTTCTGCAGTGACTGACCGAAGGCAATCCAAACCTAGACGTAAATGGACAGAACAAATGAACGACGACCCTCTAAGCTGCAAACGCGAGGCCGTGGCTATGATGCAAATGGAACAACCATCGCTTGATTGTTATGGGAAGAATCATAAAAGAGCTCTGGAATACGAAAGGATGTGGCGATCTCGGACTCTCAAGCCTGAACTTACGCGATCAAGCAGCTAGACTGGAAATTTACCATGCGGTGCAAAGACCGAGGGCGCAGCAATTCATTGAAACTGTTTGAGATTCAGTTATTAAAGTGTATTTCACTGATTTAAAAACTATTTTTACTCAATTGAAGGTATTTTTATTATAATTTACGAACAAAACCAAAATAGTCATAGGCTTAAAAAGTATTTGAGATCTATTTTAAAGCTATTTATAAAATTTTAGAAGGTTTTCCCAGTATTTGAAACTCAGTTTGGCATTAAAACTACATTTCAAACACATACTTCATCTATCTTTTCAGAAAAAGAGTACTGATGGGTAACTCAAACCTTTTTCAAATACCATATTTAAATCGCGTTTAGAACGAATACCGTTCTTTACTGATTTAAAATGTAGTCTTAGAATTAAGGGACGGACCATTAGAAAAGTGATGGGGGGGGGGGGGGGGGAATTTTCAGCTCGCACGAATTTTTTTTTTTTTTTTTTTTTCGCTCACTGCTTGTGCAGGAATTTTTTTTTTCAGGTGAACCCCTCTGCACGAATTCTTTTTCTCAGACAAATATTGCTTTTTATTGAACAGTGAAATCTTGATTCATTATCTAGGCACTTTCACGTCGCAGCCGTACAATTACGTTAAAGAAATATACAAAAAGCGTAATGTACGTCCAAAGTTATTGTCCCGTTCTCGTTGCCGTCGCCGTCGTCGTAGCTTAATCTCCCTAATAGCCAAGGGTATTTTAAGTTACGCACAATTTGCCATCCAATTATTTATTAAGAGGACTATGTCACGTTATTTGCTATGTTTTTTTTTTTTTCACTTAATTGAATTGGAAAATTAGTACATGAAATCACATTGTGTTATTTGAGAGTAACTTTAGGCACTGAAACTGTTCCCGGTGGTCTGTTCAGTGCAATTGCGGAGGGCAAGGATAGACATGGACTGAAACTTGGAGAAGTTGGGCCAACGTTTTCAAGTTTTAATGTCGTGGCTACAAAAATCACCCAAAAATATGATGGTTAGTGCTCGCTGGTGAAATTTGCTTGATATCTTCTTCATAACTGCACAGGAGCATTTTGTATATGGGTAAAGGCACAAAGTAATGACTGCAGCACATAATTGACCTAAAACAGCAATGCTGTCGGGGATACGTCACGTTTCCTTTTGTTTTTGGTGGTGGGCATGACATATACGTTGCTGATAATGCCAATCAGAATACTAATTCCTGCACTATCCAACTTTGGTAGCTCTTACGCTCTTCCGTATGGAGTTACAGACCGTTTTACAATCCTGGCTGGAACCGATTACTTTTCACCTGACGAGGTTGAGGTATTTTATCCCGCCGTGAGTCCTTATAGTTGATGAAGCTATGTCACGATTTTTTTTCTCATTATTTGAAAAACTCTAAAGACACATTGGAATAACAGAAAATCCTGAAATAATGGTTCTGTTTTGTTTAAAATTACTCTACTACTAATATACCTCAACTTTTACGTGTGTTTCTTCAGCTTCCCATGACAAGGATGAAAACGGATTGTCGATGGCTAGTGGTCGATAGAGCGATTTTCGTATGACCTTGAAATGAAAACGACCCAACAAAACAGAAACAACAAACGAACCGAAATAGAGCAATTTGATTGGTTTATCGAACGGATAGAAACGCACGTGGCTTTTGGTTGGTTAAGCGAACGAGAACTTTCTAGAAATCAACCGATATTTCGCTTTGACGTCATACTGCGACACGATTGGCCAATCGAACAATGCCTTCTCCGTATTAAGGTTTTCTTTGGCGGGAAAATGAAGAAGGCTTGTGTTGATCTTTTCATACATTGGCTGATAAAGCAAGTAACGAACACTTACCGAAACCATTTTTCAAGGTCATAAGAAAATCGTTCTATTCACCTCTCCGCTTCGCATTTCAAAATGTTTGCCGATATATTGCCAAAAATTTTAGAATGATGGTTAGCATATATGTAATATGTAAAGTCACGCAAAAAGTTTTGCTCGAATTGAGTCCGATTGGACAATTAGCAATCATTATGAACTTGAAAATGGAGTCGAGATGACACCGAAACGTCGTTCGTTCTTATCCGCGTTATTTTTTACTTCTTTCTGTGTAACTAAACTTTTGCTTATTAAAACATTACTTCCCAGCAAATTTTCGCTGCCGTGTGATGAAACGTCGACTCGCTTCAGTCCTCTGCCTGGTCTCACGACTTTTTCGCTTATCTTTATTGTTCCCTTAAATCTAAAATTCCGTAAGTCAACTGGTTATTTTAAACTTCAAGTGCAGTAGTGATAAATTTCAAATATTGAATAAGGCAGTCTAGCCTGAGTATCAGGCCTTCCTAAGGGGCTAGGGGAGAGGAGATTTTAGATGGGGTAGGGGGAGGAGGAGAAGAGAAAGGAAGGCCTGACACAAAACCATTCAGCAAATCGTGTGACACATCCAAAATCTGGATGTGGCAGTGATTGGATAACAGACAATACTCCCTGACGTCCCCGACCGCAAGTAAATACAACAACAAAAACAACAAAATACGAGCAGAGGAATCGGCAAGGAGAAGCCATTGAAAATTTTCATCGATGTTTTGATTTCATGTGGTACTTTTATGGACAGAGACGTAGAGAGGAATTCAAACCGGCTCTAGAGGGCGCTTTCAAGTTCTTTCCTGGAATGAAAATAACTGAGCAAGAATTGTGTTTTCAAAGCTTAGTAGTTAAAAGAAAAGATGTTCTCGGAGTATGGAAAAGCCTCATATACCAGCTTCTCCTGAAACTATGTCCGAGTATTGGTTTCACAAGACCAAGAGAAAGAAGACGATATCAGTGCTTCAGATATCTAAGCTCTGAATGATTTACAACATCCCGCCGTTGAAAGGGTATTGTTACTGTAAATAAAATTAGTGCGAGGTAGCCATCTATTGAGAATAGCCGACAGCACCGAGGCTTTAGCTTGACCGTGGCGGTTACGATAGCGTACTTGACTGGAATTCGGTCGCTTCCTCCTCCAAAATTTTTTCCACTTTTGAAATGTCTTAAGCTCAAGCAGGCACCATCATATTTCGCCAACGGGATTGACCTTTGCTATAGGCTATCACTTCTTTCTTAACTGAACTTGTAACAGCTTTCACGAGCTCTCTGTGAATTGGTGGAATTTGCTGCTTCTTGATAATTTTCTCGCATAGGTGTTTCACCATCGCACCTTCCTAGTTATTCTTGCAGCTCCTTTCAACCACCCGAGAATACGAGGGATAACCAACAAAACCTTGGACGATTCTTTGCCTGATGTACATCAGCTTTTTAGCTGCTAGACTCTCAGGAACCTGCTTATTAATGAGCGCATGTTGTAACACTGTAAACAAGAGCAATTTACAATTTTCCGGGGACTCGTTTATTTAGAAACAGAGCGTTGGCGATCTTTACACTAGCGCAATTCCTAAAACATGTTACAAATCCTCAAAAACGGTAGGTTTTCCATTACAAGTATTCGAAAACTGTGTAGGTTTCAGAATTAAAAAAAAGCGAAATCGTAGCAAAGCACCACAAAGCAGACCAGACCGTAAGGCGACATTTATTTTAGGTGAGCTTTTTGACAGGTGAAGCTGACAACCCAATGACCGGAAGTGATTTTGATTGGATGGTATCGAGTCATGCTGTGTGGGGGAGGAAGGCTCCAGTAAAAGCATCTGTGTCAGGCGTTTCTATTCTTCAGCTCTCTCCCCTTTTCACTTCCATCTTTCCCCTTTTCCCCCAGAAACGCCTGATACTCAGGCTAAAGGCAGTCTAAATCATCAGCAGCAAGTCAGCGATGGAGTGCACCCTCGCAAGGCTTCATGAGTTGGCTGCTCGATTTGCAAAGCTTCTTTTAGATTCGAAAATTTATTAATCGTCTGATCGATTTGGGCAACGGATCTCTGATTTCAGAAATTGTCATAGATATACTGTTCACTTTTAGAACAAGCTGCTCAAATATGAATGTAGGACGATTGATTGAAAAAAAAAATCTGCTCTAAAAGGACGCTCCGGTTGCAAAAGTGGAATCTGACGCTGGTCGATTAGTGTAGACCTTGCGCGATTTAAAACCTATAGCCGGCTTGCTTTGTAATGTTGAATTATTGATATTATTAACGCGTCACTTAGTCTGTGTTTCGTTGAAGTTTTACCGCCCATTATCTGCTCGTAGCATGATACTTACAATTTGTAACCTTCAGTATATAGGAGCTAAATATGTTCTTTTGGAAAGTTAAGGTGCTTTCCTTGGGTTAGCCAGTACTCCAGTGTGATTTGCAGTAAATCCTTTGGTAGGAAAGCACATAGTTTTTGCTATTTCCCTGTTTAGTTGTTCTGAGGGGTGATTAGCATATTAATAATTTAAGTAAAGCCCGCTCAGAATCTCCATTTTTTGGTTATTTATTTCCTAGTTATGCAGGGTAATTTCAACCAAACTCAGCGTGGGAGTATTAAGGACAAAATTAGTCTCACTGGTAACCTGCCCTGCAGTAACTCATACAAGAAAATTAATTGAGGAAGTTCTCGTTTTATCCATATTATGTTGATAAAACGATTTCTAAGTGCACCAATCACCAAGCTCCATTTTAAGAGCTCTCGGTAGCCCCGATCACGCTCAGAGATATTTCACCTGGTCCATGGAAATTTTTTAAAAACAATTAAGTTGGAAATACGTCTGCAAAATTCAACCCGCCGATAATTTCCCAATGTCAGGATATAGTTTTGAAACAAAGATCATTTTGTTTGTTTTTTTTCTTTTCTTTTTTTTTTTTTTTGATCGTTAATGGATAAATATTGATAAACTAGAAAGCAACGGGAATTTAACAAGTCTTGAAACTTGAAAACTGTCAAGGCTAATTGTGTTGAAGCATAATATTTTCAACAATGGTTCATTACTATAATTGAAGTTAATTGGACAAATAATAAAACAACTCTCCTGGGAGATATTTAAAAGCGGTTATTAAGCTTTTTAGTTTCTTGAATTAATCACTTGCAAATGTGAACATACTGCTCTCCCTCTATATGCTCGTTCTCCCTCTGTCTTGGAGATAAAATATTTGAAGGAAGTTTTTTTTAAAACTTTTTAGTTTCTAGAGTTAATAATTACTTGAAAAGGGGATAATAATCCGCTCGCCCTCTATTTCTTTCCCCCTCAGTCTTGGGTCTCTTGAAGACGAAATATTTGAAAGCAGTTTCTAAACTTTTTGTTTTTGCTTTTGTAATTTTTAGATTTAACTACTTGCTAGGGTGAAAATACTGCTTTCTCTTTCTCTGTCTCAGCATTAAAACTTATGAAATTCCCTAAATAAATATGTCTTTACAACAAGACGAGTTGTTAATTATTTATTGATGGTTATTGATTCACTCTGATGAATATTGTTTAAAGTTAAGCATAAACACGGTTATGCGACATAGTTCGGAAAGGTGGGTGTTTGTTTGAATGCAGTTCAGGCAGAATTACTCAATTACATAAAAGCTCATGACATCTGCATAAGATGGAAAACCCAGTAATTCTGCGGAGAAATCACTTCTTTTTTCTGTGGATCTTTTCCACCCTTCAAACTGATTCTCAAGGTACATAAAATCCATTTTCTATTTCTTTAATGGTGATTTTTATTGTGACATGAAAAAAAGAACGTGAAAATCTCATATTTCCCTCTCTTCTTTTAACAAGCTTTCAGTCAAGGATCGATGGGCAACTTCTTCTATGTCAACTTCATGATAAGTGAATTTTCCTACCTGAATATCTCCAGTATTGGGCGGAATCTTATTAAAGACGAAAACGATTGTGGCTACGCCTGTCTAGAAATTCCTTCGTGTTTTTCCTACAACGTGGCTGCCTTTCCTGATGTCAACGGTAAACTTCTTTGCGAACTCCTGCCCTCGGACAAGTTTAACAACTCGGACAAGTTCAACGCCAGCAAAGAGTTTCATCACTTTTATATTCCGGTAAGTCAAACTTCTAATTAATCATAAATGTTCCTTCCGGGGAAAATAGAAAGCTTCTTCTTGTTTGTTTTGTGTGTTTAGTTTCTTTCGACTCTCCCTAGTTTCGAAAGTTATGTATCTCTTCGATTGGAAAATCTTGAATGCAGCAAAGGATTAGATTGTGCTTTTAATGCAAAGACATTGACTAATGAGTTTGGGTGAGCCTTACCCTTTAGACTCTTAATTGAACCGTCTGCTGACACCCAAACATACTTGATGAAATCGATATATTTATCTTCGAATGCCCTAAACGTTAACGAGGGAGGAGTTGTAGGCAGAGGTCTCGACTGTTTTATTTGCTGACAAAAAGCGTTTAGTTCGCAAAGCACATTTTTTTACCATGAAGTTTCCTCATTTATTTGTTTGCCTATATTTGACCTGCCTTAAAAGTTACAGAAACGTTTTAAAACTCTTAGTGTAGGCTGATCTGCTGCCGGTTAAATAGATCGACTATATCAGGACAACGTCTTGAAATGCAAATTTCTGGGTAAATGAGACAGCGTTGACTTTCAAAACCTCACTAAAAACTCAACTAAGCAAATCCAGCGGGGAGTGCAAAAGATAAAAATATATATTACTTGCCGTCCTTAATTATATCCATGTCATTTAAGCATCGACATGAATGTCAAATTCGTTGCTTCTTGAATTCATGAAACAAAGCAAAAGGGAAACGAAGAAAATTCAATCCCAACGTTTCCTTACTGAAAGTTAACTGAGGCACCGAAAGTTTCTCATTTTCTAGTGCTTTTCTTGTTCTGTTTGGACATTACTATGGCAACACAAAACACCTAACCTGTTCACCTATGGGAACATTCAATCGAGGGAATTCGTATCCATTAAACGTTCCAGGCAATAAAGGAATTTAAACGAGTTAACTGCCTTGTTGAAACAATTTTAATTGTACCTAGTTCTTCTTCCTTTTTCACATAAGAGAAGCACGTTGCCCCTATAATGTTTGCCTGATTTAATGGGATATTGCCATAGCAACGCACATTTAAAGATAAAATAATGAACTGTTCGCGATCGTGTTTCGTTATCATAAAAAACCGCTTTTGTTATTGCGTCACAAGAAATACATGTTACTAGCGGTAGAAGTGCTATACTATGAAAAACCAAGCATCAAATTTTCTAAAAATCGGAGACAATAATTAAGGGACTTATCAAAGTCTGCTTTACATTTTTTAGAGCTGCGCAAAATTCCCGTTACTTGATCTCATTATTATTATTATTATTATTATTATTATTATTATTATTATTGTTATTATTATTGTTGTTATTATTATTATTTAAGTGTTGGATTTCTTTATTAGGTCTTGGAAAGTCCTTGATATTCACAACCTTATCTACACCAGATACCATTTTCATGTAAAATTATATTATTTTGCCTAAAATATTTGACTCATCCTCGATGTAAGAACCTGTGAAACTCACGAATAACGTAACAACATTTTTGTGTATGAACAATATTTTATTTCTGTTTCTTTATTTCAAATGCTATTTGAGAACCTAAGATGCAATTGCAAGTCATACCTAGTCAGTTTGCAAAGTCTTATTGCGGAAAGTAGACGTATAAAATAATGTGATCAACAATGGCCGAAGAAGCGGTAAAAATCACAAAAAACTCCTTGACGTGTTTTAGCAACTGTACGGTGATGAAAGTGGGTTAAAGAATACCGATTTATTTGATAAATCTTAGTCTTTGAAAATTATAATTTGTCCTTGAAAAATCCTTGAAAAGTCCTTGAAATGTTTTTGTCTGAAGTTGTATGAACCACGGTTATAGAATTCGGCTAGATTCCTGCTTGGCCTTCTTGTATATATCTTGATTCACGGCAACGCTAAACGCGACCGGTTGCTCTTCCAGCAGCTTGTTCTCAACGGACGTAGGGAGGCAACAGGACGAGTTAGATTCTGTGAATGCCATGTTTTTGAACTGTTTGTGTTCGAGCATATTTTTGGAAACTTAATATCAGAGTTTACTTTCCCTTTTTAATGACGGACTGCTTACAACGGAGTAGTATACCAATGATACTTGGTTCTGTTTTTCTCGACGTCGCAGTGATTCGGCACGATCGAACAATTTTGCGCGATCAGTGTGGGTTTCCCTATTTAAAAAAAAGATCAAAACAAAGACATCAACAACAGCGTCTCTTTTGTTCTGTCAGCATCTAAATTATAAAATCAGTAAAGAAAGACAAGTCTAACTGTTAAAGATTTGAAACAGTCTTGGCCCCTTTGTACAAAAGTTGGATAGCGCTATTCACCGGATAAATCAGAGGCACCCAACGAGAATATAGTTCAAAACCACTTAAACATAGCATTGTGAAACGTATTTTAGTATTTAAACGGTAGATATAGGTGTATTCTTATCCCCTAAAAATTTTCCATCTGTTCGGATTTCCTAGCTGAAAGTCTAGTGATCCGAAAATTATAGGGATGAAAACCTACTTTTTCGAAAATTTCAGCCAGAAAAAAGGCTCCCGAAAATTCTAGGTGACCTTTTCATTGTAAAAATCCGTTTAAAATGGGCAATGACTATATAATTACTTAATTATTTAGATGTTCGAAAATCCTAGGATAGGCAGGCAAGCAAGAAAATTTACAACAATGTTCCGAAAATTCTAGATCTCAAATCGTCTTCCGAACATATATTTTCCGAAAATTGACGTTGGGTGCGTCGCACGCCAAAATTGTAATCGTTGGCAACAGTAAATGAGTTAAAAATCATCATTTTTGTGCTCAATTATCTCACTGTTTTAGTATATACTAAAACAATTATTTACCTCAGCGTCGGTGGCTAGTACTGGATATTTACCTCGCCGCTTCGCGCCCTCGATAAATACCCACTACTACTAGCCACCTCCTCTCCGGTGATTAATTGTTATGTATTTTAATTATACTTAGTACTTATACTGTATATCTGGCTTGCTTCCCTTTGTGTAGTCTCCATGTGACAGCTCGCCTTGTAAGAACACTGGCAAATGCATTCCCTTGTACCAGAAAAATGGATATAAGTGTACCTGCATGAAAGGATTCACGGGACGAAACTGCGAAACAAGTAAGCGATACTAGGCTGAAACAAATACCAAGTTATGTTAACTTTTTGTTTTCTCCAAACTGTCTCTCTCTTGAAAGTTAAATCACAGGAGGCACATTATTAGAGAACTTTGCTAGTGGAGGAAGCCCTGAGTACTGCTACATGTTGCAGTCCTATTTTAATTTTTGCTGAAGTCTTATGTAACCTTTGACTCTCTTCTACAGATATAAATGACTGTGTCAATATCACTTGTTTGAACAACGGAACTTGCATCGACCTAATTGATGGCTTCAACTGCAGTTGCCCTCCAGGATTTGCTGGGAGCCGATGCGAAATTGGTTAGATTCTTTTTATTGCATTGAATTTTTCGCCCATACGCAACATGTTATACCGTCTATACCGTGTAGCAAGAAATTTTTGAGGGACTTTTATTTTGAGGATTGGCGATTTTTTGAGGTTTGCGGGAACAAATTTTTGTGGCTCCAACTGACTGAAATTTCCGCTGGGATGGAACTAATTTTTGCCGGCGGTTTTCTTTTCGAGCAGCAAAACAACAACAAAGGATCGAGAAAGTGTAATATTTTCAACTTTTATTACTTTTTTTTTAGATAAAACAACAGTCTATACTTCTCAGACATTTCAGTCAACGACAAGCCGGTCGGTTACAACAAAACATGTCCAGCAGTCAAGCTGTATAAGGCCGATTTTGAAGCGCATGATAAAATACAAAAATACAACGAATCTAAACTCAGTCAATCAACACCTGTTGTGCAAGCAACCACAGAAGCATATCTCGAGCTACCGGTAGAGCATCGTTGTTCTTCAGTGTATCTTTCTTGTGCCTTAGACACTGAAAAAGTATTGACTTAAACTTTTATCGTTTTATCGTTTCGTTTTATTTGTATAACAAGCAAGGTCCGATTGCTTTTTCTCATCAGGGCAAAGAGATGTTATACCGGTCAGATTGAGCTGAAAAATCGTACAAAGACGCAAACAAACACTAGGGCTCTGTTTTTTGAAGATCGCTATTATTGCTTGAACCCGGTGTTGATAAGTTTTCACTTGGATTTCTTTTTCTTTTGCACGGAAGCATTTTCTCGGGTAATTTTCCATATTCTTCAGTTTAGTTTAGAAACATTCAATCACCTCATTGTAGGGTTACCTCAACTCACAATCTTGGGCAAAAATGTTCGGACAAATGGACGTTACCGTGTCTAGTTTCAGGATAAAGCTCTTGAAAGCACCGACAACTACCCCCCCAAAAAAAAAACATGTTGAAGCCCGGCTGGATCATTTCTGACCCCGACTAAACAACTGAGACCAGGGTGGCGCAAGAAGAGGGGCCGTGGCGGGATAGGCGTCCTGTGGGTAAGAGAGTGCAAAATTGTCATCCCTTTTTGTCCAAGATTGCAGCTTTGAACAACCTGGATCTGTAGGTGACAATTTTGCAAGCTGTTTGTGCTTTGTTCAGGACTTTACTTGTGCATTTGCTTCGATTTATTTTTTCGCACGGCACGAAACACATTCCGGGATAAAGTACGCGTTATAATTACGTTTGCGGAATTGTACCCGTGTATTCCAAGGTAGTGCTTTCGACGTCTGATATATCTGTGCTGAATTTTGTGGAACTGAATAAAGATGAACAGTTCGCACAATGGCAAAAGATTTTGTACCCTAAGCGATGTTTGTTTCGCTGACATCTGTGATCTCGCAGCACCCTTAATGATCTATGATTACTAGTTTACAATACAGAAAGATCAAATGTAAACGGGATGAATCCACTAAAAACATTCATTATTGGTGGAATACATCTTTGTTTACAAGAAGGCACTTGACTTTTGCTGTCACACGCAAACAGATAGCCTGCGAAAACATCCGTTTCTCCTCGCTCTTCGCCGCTGGGGACGTTTCGCGCGGATGAACGTCTGCGACTCAGCGACAGAAATTCCATACTATCAATGTTTACTTAATAAATCTGGTAGTCGTGGGGTTCCAAATGTAGATTTATTCAATTTTAGGTTTCTACTGATCGATTTTGGTAAAGTGTTGTGTTCATCTGCGAACGAGCTCCAGCAAAACTCAAATGCTTGTTGTAGAGAAGACTATATTCCACAAATATTGACTGTTTTGTTAGAGATTCATTGCGTTTACATTTGACCTTTGTGGCCTTTTGTCTTTTGTCTGTCATTCGTAAACAATAGCTAAAACAATGTAACTACTCCGTCGACCAATCAGGGTTTCTGACCGGATTCTGGACATATTTTACGTCATCAGTATGGAATTTCTGTTGCTGAGTCGCAGACGTTCCTCCTCGCGAAACGTCCCCAGCGGCGAAGAGGGAGGAGAAACGGATGTTTTCGCAGGCTAGCAAGCAGAAAAACGGAAAAATTTACGATGATAAACCAGGCCGGACAGACATGAACTCGAACAAAATGTCTTCTGGAACCCGGTGACTACCAGCTAGATTGATTATGTAAACATTGAATCACGTCATTAGTGTAGATTTTTTTGAGCCGAGTCGAGTTAATGCGAGAAACCTGGACCGAGGACAAAAAAATTAATAATCAATCAATCAATCAATTTATTTACGTCAATACGTGGGATGGGGTTGCCCCGGTCATCCGAGCCAGAGGCTCATGTATAAAACGCATGACAATAAAAATACTAAGTTAATAAAGATGCAATACATTTGAATAAAAAAGCAATTTAAAAAGATCATAAATGTATGAAAACAAATAACAATAATATATCCGTGAATGCTCAAAGCTACACCCTCCGGCATCCCACTGAATAAATTAAAAACTAAAAACCGTAAGAATAAGTCTGAAACCCTTAGGGGAAAAAAAAACAGATATAGTAACACCCTAAGTTATAAAAAAATTATATTTACAACTGGCTCTCAAGATTGTAAGATTAAAAGATCTTAAATGCTTACGATATTCAATCAACTCAGTCGATCTCTTAATGTAAGAATTGAAGGAAGTTGATTCCACAAATGCGAAGCCTTGTAACTGAAAGAATTATTATAATATCGATTATTGTAGGGTGGTTGAGTGAGATTGTGATCGCTGTTCCTTAAATTGTAGCGCAATATGCGAGGTTTGAATAAGTCAGAAATATAGTCAGGCCCATTTCCTTTTAGCGGGGCTCCCACGCGCGCATATCAAATGTATGCAAAAAGATCAATAATCAATTTAATGTTATGTTGCGCTTTAGAAAACTCATACGCAAGGAAATCTTATTCAAACTTTACAAAGCGTATATTTTACCTCACTTTTATTATTGCTCCTCTGTCTGGCACTTTTGTGGAGCGCGCGATGCGGATAAGCTTGAAGCTTTAAATAAAAGAATACTTAGATTTATACTTGGAGATTACTCGTCTCCATACAGCACTCTTCTCTCAAAAGTCACGGCTCTACTTCTTTGTTTAACAAACGCATTCAAAATTTCCTCATTCTGTTATATAAGAGTTTGTTTTTCACTCATTTTCCTACTTATATGAAGAATATGTTTTCACTCCGGTCCTCTTCCTATGATCTTCGTGGCAACTACATTCTTTCACTAAGTAAACCTAAAACAACTACCTATGGTCTTAACTCCTTTTTTTACTTTTCAGCTAAGCAGTGGAATGCACTGCCGGACTTTTTTCGTACCAGTTTTTTTGCAGACTAAAATACAGGATGTTACCTTCATGTAGATTCTTTTTGCCTGACATACTTGAACTTAAAATTGTGAATTGTAAATGATATTTTCTTTCCTTGCATTTAATGTATATATATATATTTTTTCTATATAGTTTTTATGTAGTGTCAGCTCGATGATATTAGCTTGTCAGCTACTCTAAAATTCGAGTATAAATAAAGTTTTATGTTATGTTATGTTTATGTTAAGCGCGCGTGGGACAGAGCCCCATACTCATAGATTATGGTCAACCTCTTTTCGTTTGGTTGTCTCGTGATTGACCGAGCGTACGTACGCGTCTACGGATTGTACGGGTGGGGTAGGGGAGACTATCAAAAGGAAGGGAGGGGTGTCTCAGGCGTGTCTTGCCAAGTCCACATCTTTTACATTGGACATTCACAATTTGGTCAATTGACAGCTGTCAAAACAGGATAGCCACTGACTAGTATCCCATGACCGTATCGCGGGCTCATGTGTCAACTCGAGGTGACGTGATTTATCTGAAAGCTGTCCGCTGACCAATTAATTATTTTACTAGATCGCGATCAATGTTCAGTCTCATACTTTTTAGCTAGTTTGGGATCGGAGCACAGGAAAACTGATACACATATTGGACATCAATGTTGTGATCAATTGACAGCTGTCAAAACAAGGTATCCGCTGACCAGTATCACTTGACTGTATCGTGGGCTCAGGTGTCGACCCATCGAGGTCAAGTATTTTTAGAAGTTATCCGCTGACAAGATACTGGTTTTCAAATGATCGCAGGCTCAAGTTTATTTTTTTTTTTTAAATTCAAATGAAATATGTCGTGTTTATGTGCCGCACAATTAAAATTTTGATTTCAAACTGACCTCGGACGCGAAAATTCAGCCAGCTGCTACAGGCAGGGAAGACAGTTGCTTTTGACTTTTCTCGCCATGTTTACGCGTTGGTCAATCAGAGCATATAAATTGGACGTAAAGCGTGGTCAAAATTTGACAGGTGAGTTCATGCGGAAAATTTATGCAGCATCTTGAATCTTGTTTACTTTGACAGCTGAAGCTGACAGAGTTTTGTGTCAACTTGTGATGTTTTTAACTTTCTTTTTCCACTGGATGTACAAAATGAAATTCAGCTGCTATCAGGAGTCTTCTGTTATTCATGGCTAGTTTGTTTATTTGGTTTTTGGTTAAGGCAAAGTCGGAAATCCGATTTCGCATGGCATCGTTTTCGCTTTCACCTTGCTTAATGCGTAAGAGGGTTGCAAAGTCTGAAGCGATACTGGCCTTACTTGACACCTTTCAGGAGCTGCATCTCGAGTGGTAAGCCTAAGTAATTATTGTATTTGATGTTTGTTTTTAATTCCTAATTTAATGAAGTCGAGCGTAGTTTATGCGGCTATTTTGTTTACGCACGTTTATAAGATTTGAGACAATGATCTGACCGAGTATCAGGTTTGTTATAAGCTTACAGATATTTAAAAAGCCTTTAGACATTTTCTCACCGCAAATAGAAAGAATACGTTTCAAGGAATATTTAGTTATAATTCCTGCTGTAAAAGAAAGGTTTGAGCGATTTCTTTGCCTGGAGTTCGTCTTTGAAAAAAGCAAACACCGGGAAGCCGGCTTAAAACATAAACTTCAGCTTTAAAGCTCGAAGACTCAGGATTTTTAGAGACCCTTTAATACTTGTTTTCCTGAATGAAAATTGTCGTCTCTGTGTATGTTTCACCGAATTATATTTCTTTTATTGATTGTTAGTACTGTCTCTTGTAATTTTAATCGCTGTGCCGATTGTTTTCAGTCGTTCAGTGAACAACTCTTCCCGGAGTACTCAAAATGCCACGCGTTAAACGGTTTTAAAATAAAAAATAAACATAATAAATTCTTTATTATGTTGGAGCGTAACTGTGTCAATGTTCATTCAAACTTCAAACACTCGCCACTGCTAGCACTGCAAAAGTCAGAACCGGCTGCCCGTATAGATGATTTTGAAAATTTTTTTAACGGTTTACGACTAAAGCGCACGCGTGCTTCGATCGTCCTGAATATTGAATGCGTTCATGTTGAAACGCAGACCATGCAGACTGAGGACTGCAGACTTTGCATACCGTGCAGACTGTGCAGACTGAGTGTTATTTTTTACTTGTACCTCATTTTTCTAGTAAAATTTTTACTATAGTTTCCTGCTTCCTCTCATTATGTACACTGTGCATCACCATCATATGTTGCACTGATGTGTACCTGCCAGGGTCATGGGTAGGAAATGAGAAAATCACGGGCTCATGATTACCGGCAGATGTAAAAGTTTCGCTTGCTTTTAGCTGCGCCGCTATCACGCAGGAGCGAGCACGATGGAGGAAGGTAAGCTGTTTCTTTCTGTAACTGTATTATATTGCCACGATTATTTATTTGCTTTTTCAGGTTAAGTGACTTAAAATAAAACCCTTCTCGGCTTCCTACAACGGCTACGAGAGAGACATTTCCTCAATTTCGTTGATTAGTGATGATCGTCTTTGGTTTCACTCTGTAATTCAAACAGGTGTGTCGTGTCTTTTTCCCGCGAATTTTAATTATGTTAATGTATTTTCTTTGTTTTCGAGCACGTGACATAGTTGTGATGCAGTCGGTCACAAAATTTAGAGCCTCAGCGTCGATGTTTTCGCATGGATTCTATTTTCTTCTTTGTAGCTTGATAGTTCAGTTTGATGCGGTTGCACGAACAAGTTTTTTCAAGTATCGAGTATCGTCGATGAATTTGTATTTGCTCGTGAAGGAGCGGCGAAAGGAAACGGTGGATTAAACGGGATTTACGAACGACGCGTGGACTAGTAATTTGTGCCAAGTGTGATCTTCTCGTCGAAGTATCCCACACAGTGACTTGCCGTCATTTCCTCTAATCTTACAGATACCGATGTCATCGTTTTCAGCTCGGGATATCAAACCGAGACGTTTGAGAGATGGGCCTTGCTTTAAAATGTGTAAATAAATCAACGGTATATCTACCTAAAAATAAATATTCTGATTTCCACGTGTTTGGTGGTTCCGTAAGCGTCAGAATTAAGAGAAGAAGGGCAGCGACTTGAAACTTCTTACAGATAATATTCAATGAAAATTAAGACAAAATATACCTAAAATACACGGCGGGGGATCCAGTTCAATGCGCATTAAAACCCCCTCCACATCTTCGAGTTGTACAAATAATACATTTGTTACTAATGAACTATTTAGTTTTAGAGCTGCATAAACAAGAACCATGATACTCGAACAAGATTGTCGGTTTCAAACCACTTAACCACTTATTGGCGCAAATGCATGGAGCAAATACAATTGTCGATCCCCGAGTGAAAACCCGCCCAGAAGGACACTCTTGAGAATCGAATAAAAAAAATACATAAACAAAAGTCTTACCCGAATCTTACGAGCTAACAACGATGACATCGGTATCTGTAAGATTTGAAGAAATGACGGTAAGTCACCGGTTTGAATTACAGAATGAAATCAAAGACGATCATCTAACAATCAAGGAAATTGAGGAAATGTCTCTCTCGTAACCGTTGTAGGAAGCCGAAAAGGGTTTTATTTTAAGGTGGCTCGATACAGTTTTTCAGGGTCAATACCTCCCAAGTTTGAGCGTAAACTACGTCGCCATAAACAAAGATTTGGAAAAATTGACACCACAGTTGTATTAGATAAAGATGAAAATTTGTTATGATCAGGGTTGCAATGACATCGGAGTTGTCATAGCAACGAAATGACGCCATTACCTATTTTGCTTGCAGCATGATTTCTCGGCACTGGGAACTGTTCTTCCAAAATCGTTTACTGGAACTTTTTCCTACAACAGCCGCCTCGATGTTCGTGAAGTTTAAGCGAAATCTGTAAGAGCGTTATCGAGATATTTTGGGAACAAGTTTTTATGGTTAGAAATACGGTAAAAAATGGACAGTCTTGATGTTCGACTGTTATCTGTACTAAACGAAGCACTTTTGACATGCAATTTCACCTCATAGTAGTTTCAATCTTTTCAAAAACGTGTGTGAAAGATCATTGAGATACCTCCAGCCGATTGCTAGAAAGAAGGATTTGATTAGTATGTATCAAGGCGCTCTTGTTAGCGGTAATGTAAACATTTCGATCTACTTTAACAAATTAGGGAATAATTTTTAAACCGCTCGATCATTTTTTTTTAAGATTCAAGAGTCTTGAGATAAACCGTCCTTTTATATGACCTCTTAGTTTCAAGGTTATTGATATATTGTAAGGTAGTAAAATAAGGGCTTGAATTCGCTAACATTTTGTCAGAAATTTTGTGTTTACAAGTGAGAGCCTCCTATTATTCGGCGGTATTGTCTCAAAGTTTCATTTTCACGTGAACAGCAGTAACTAACAATGCATTTGACATATGCAAAAATACTAGGTATTGTTGTGCACGAAAATATGAAACTTGGAGACAATAACCCTGAATAATGAGAGGCTCTCACTTGTAAACACAAAATTTCTGACAAAATATTAGCGAATTCAAGCCCTTATTTTACTGCCTTACAATATATCAATAATCTTGAAACTAAGAGGTCATATAAAAGGACGGTTAATCTCAAGATTCTTAAATTTTCTAAAAAATTTATCGAGCGATTTAAAAATTATTCGCTAATTTGTTAAAGTAGACCGAAATGTCTACATTACCGCTAACAAGAGCGCCTTGATACATACTAATCAAATCCTTCTTTCTAGCAATCGGCTGGAGGTATCTCAATGATCTTTCACACACGTTTTTAGAAAGATTGAAACTACTATGAGGTGAAATTGCATGCCAAAAGCGCTTCGTTTAGTACAGATAACGGTCGAACATCAAGACTGTCCATTTTTTACCGTATTTCTAACCATAAAAACTTGTTCCCAAAATATCTCGATAACGCTCTTACATATTTCGCTTAAACTTCACGAACATCGAGGCGGCTGTTGTAGGAAAAAGTTCCAGTAAACGATTTTGGAAGAACAGTTCCCAGTGCTGAGAAATCATGCTGCAAGTAAAATAGGTAATGGCGTCATCTCGTTGCTATGACAACTCCGATGTCATTGCAACCCTGATCATAACAAATTTTCATCTTTATCTAATACAACTGTGGTGTCAATTTTTCCAAATCTTTGTTTATGGCGACGTAGTTTACGCTCAAACTTGGGAGGTATTGACCTTGAAAAACTATATCGAGCCACCTTAAGTCACTTAACCTGAAAAAGCTTCTTCTTCTAAAAAAATTTAAATAATCGTGGCAATATAATACAGTTACAGAAAGAAACAGCTTACCTTCCTCCTTCGTGCTCGCTCCTTCGGGAAACTATAGTAAAAATTTTACTAGAAAATTAAGGTACAAGAAAAAAAAATAACACTCAGTCTGCACAGTCTGCAGGGTCTGCAGTCTGCAGTCTGCAGTCTGCATGGTCTGCGTTTCAGCATGACCGTATTGAATGATGGTAATTTGTATCGCAATATATAGAGAATACTTCATGGAAAGTGCTGGCGTACGGTATTTACGCACGAGTTATTGACGTATCAGAAATCGAACGAGTGAGCGCAGCTAACGAGTAAGATTTCTGATACAAAAACAACGAGTGCGTAAATACCGTACAAAGCACTTTCCATGTGGTATTGTGTTTATTATATACATACTGAGACATTCATCATTTTGGGGGCCTTTTTATTTTACATCTTTCAAAAGTGCTAAAATTTGCCGCTACACACTTACCGCAAAATGACAACGAAAACGAAGTATCAGCATTTTAGTAAAAACGTTTGTTAAAAACATAAATGACGGTGAGGATATGAGGTAATCCAAGAACTATAATTAATCTTAACTGTTTGTTCTCAATGTACAATTGAAAATGAGTGAATTTAAGTAAAATGACCGGTTTCAATATAAGTTTAAGCTTAAATGAAAGGCAAAGTAGGTCCGACAAAAAGCACAACAAAAGCTTACGTCTCGTTCTGTTTATCCCTTTCCGCTGTTGTTTCCCCGGCTCTCTACCGTTTTCTTTATCGACAGTGAAACAAACGAAACTATTCTACTCCATTTCCGAAATCTTTTTCACTTTTCTAGCGAGAAATACTCTTTGAGTACTAAAAAAACTTTTCTCGTTGAATGTGTGCGAAGCGGCGCTGCAAGCTGCAATAAAAGGCGGGAATTTTGGCGCGAAACTCACACACCTCTGTGGCTTCTGATTGGACGTATCATTTTTCTCACACGTGAAAAAACATCGTTCGCGATTCTGATTGGACGTATCATTTTTTTCACGTGTGAAAACCATCGTTCGCTCCTCTGATTGGCTAGAACTAATTTGCGTACGAAAATTTACGACATAGCTTTTTGGTGAGTATTTCTCAGTATGTATATAATAATCTGAAATACTGCATTCTGTTGTCCGAGGTCTGTATGATAAAAACAGTCCCTCATAGTACTGTTTCACCTCAGATGTGATGTATAAGTGACAAAAAAGCTTGGTTTACACGCACCCAGATTTGTTGGCAAGATTTTGTAAAGTAAACTTGTCGAACGCAAAAAATTCGGCCGGAATTTTTTTTCCAGGCCTAATTAACGGTGATCAAGAGCCATTATGGCTCTTAATATAAATGTGATCGAAGATGATTGCCAGTTTTTGGGTGTACTTATGAGGCTATCAACTCGATGTGAGATTTGGTTCACTCTTGGGCTGTTTGCAAATCATTTTTTGTAAAATCACTTAGCCTTTCCCTGAAAAGTCACACGAATGTGCTCTAAAGTTAATTGAATTGTGGAATACAAGTTTAGTGTTTGATTTAAATTATAAATTTATTAATGGGAGCCTAGCTTTTAGCCCTGGCTAAATCTATATATTATACATTTAAAAAGGAGGACAAGAGATTGATAGTATCTTCTATGTTCGAGTGATTGCATGTTTACAGCAGACAATATGACATCATAATTGAAGCTGTTTCCGAAATTTAAGAGGGCTTTTAAAGCATAATAGTTTGCAGATTCAAGTTTCTTGTTCAAAGTTTTGTTAATCCCTAATAGTAATGGACTACAATATTCAAGGTGTGGAAGTATATAAGTTGTACAGCATAAGTGAGATGTTAGCAGGCACCAGCTTTCTAAGTCGTCTCAGAGCTCCAACCTTGGCATAAACCTTCCTTAAAACAGTTGATAGGTGGTCTTTAAAGGACAACTTATCGTCTATACGAACACCAAGAATATTGAATAAATTGAATAGAAAAAAAATAAGGGGAGGGGAAGGGGGAGAGGAAGGAAAGGAAACCTCTTTCCTTTCCCCCTCTACCTACTTCCATTTTCTTTGTTCTGGCTTCGACTTTCGACTTTCGAAAGCGGAAACGCTTGCTACGCAGCCTAGCCGAATCGGAGACGTTTCTCCCGCAAAAGGTCCCTACTACTGAGGAGCAAAGGGTTACGGCTGTATCCGCAGGCTAAACCAAATGCTGATCTGAGAGTGTCTGTCCTCCGTTTTGTAATATGTTCCTGCATTGGCAGAGTCAAATGCGTTCATTATTCTGGTTTATAGTCATCTAAATCTAAGCAAGGCTGATTCCGGCAAAATTATGTTCCTCGTCCTCCTTTTTAGTTAGCTTGACGGACGGCCCACCTCTGTGGCCTGTGCATACTCTCGCGTACTTTTATCCCAGAAAAATTGCGGCTCTTCGTTGCTACATGTTTCGCGCACGAATAGCTGGATGATGTCTGCAACAGATCTAAACAAGTGGAACCAATCGCTATTTTCTCTTTCACCCAGATGTTATCTCGAATGTGGTCACACAGTTTCTTTCCCCTGCGATTGGGAATGACAGCGACTGGGCGCTGTGTTGGCAGGCGTCCACTCATGGCTGGGCTGCCAGTACCTTCCACAGCAGATGTGATGGGAAAAACCATACGATTACAATCATCAAAAAAGACGAGTACGTGTTCGGAGGATACACTGATATTCCTTGGGGTAAGTGGGTTTTTGTCCCGGGGGGATGGCTACTGTATGAAAGAGTTGGAGATACCCTTTGGAAAATTAAAGTAAACTCTAGAGAGCTCTTCACTAGTAAAATACTCCCAAGAAGAGGACATACCTTATATCGCATCACCAAAAAAATGTGAATGTATTGATCATCACGTAGCGCGGTTCAAACTTGATAGTTTAACCAAGGGGTTGAACCTTGGACGAACTCTTTGTGTTTACAAGACACTATTTTCAGTATTTTTGCACATATAGCTTATATACAAACGTAGCAATCACTATAACATATATCATTTTTTTTATTCCTTGATGAATATATGGTGGCTTTCTTCGCACAATTTGGCCTATATTTATTCGATAAAAGAGGTTACCATCTAATTTAAGTTTCTTTAATTGTTTGTGCGCGTCTGAGGAATTCATCATCTCCGAGTAAATCTTACGCACATACCTTTGGGGATCAGATTGTTTACAAAAGGTATGAATTTGAGTGTTCTTCGGCTGTGTCCTGATCTGTTTAACTCAACAAGAAAGAATCAAAGTGATGAGATAAATTAACTCATCACCAAGTGTACTTTTGTCTTTCCAAAAATGTAGGGCTTTGTCCCAATAACTGGATTCATCTACAAGGTTCATGCTACAAAGTCTCGTTAAAGAGATTGAACTGGACCGCCGCAAAATCTACCTGTGAAGCTATGGGGTCTAAGCTCGCCATGGTGACATCACAAGCCGATCAACAAGCACTTGCAGCTTTGAATTTATCACAACGTGTATGGATTGGTTTGCGCAGAGACCCCAAGAATAAATCAGGCTGGTTTTGGGTTGATGGATCAAGAGCGACATATACCTACTGGGGTGATGGCGAACCTAACAACGCAAAAGGAAATGAGGATTGCACACAAATTATTCCTCGTAATGGAAAATGGAATGATGATCCTTGTTCCTTGACCCTGCATTACGTTTGTGGCACCAATGGTAGGTGACAGGACAATTATGTGCATAATATACTTTGACGTTATCTTAGTGCACGCAGTGCATGACTCTAGGAAGCGTGCAATGTAAACGCACTGGATAAATTACTTTCGAAAGGTTGAAATAATATATATAATTTGTACGGACTCTCTTGCCAGGAGAAGGGGTCTAGGTTCAGCATGCTTCTCATCTCCTGTAACGGAACCTCCCTTGCGGTTTCGCAGTGGAATTTAAGGATGGTTCTTATGGTTGGGTACCGATCCAGCCGTCTCAACCAAAACAAGCCATTTTTCGGACCGGTTTCGACTTTACTGTCTTCTTCAGCGGAATTTTACAGTTTCAGCTTGTACGGTCGCTTACGCGCCGTTGGACTTATTGCATTAACTATGTGTCACAACTCCGACTTTATATACCATAAATTGACAATTACGTGTGTAACGTGGGTATGGAATCAATAGATTGATTAATGAGTTGTACTTATTTTCGCGCACAATTCTTTGGCGTTTTTTGTGTTAACGTGGAAAACTTTAAATCTAAATGTCTCTCTGTCCTTACAATTTGAGGCTAGCTTGTGCTTCTTTTGAAGTTTTTAGTTAATTTGCTACTAGAGAACTGTTCTTCTCTGATTATTTTGGCGGTGATGTCTTTACTCTTGCGCAAAATTCTTTTACGTATATGACGTGGGTATGTCATCAATTAATTGTTTAATGAATATCTTTTTCGAGAGCAATTGTTTGGCGTTTTTGTGTTTAACGCAGAAAACTATAAATCTTATTGTCTTTCCAACCCCACATTTTGAGGCTTGCTTGTGCTGCTTGTGTCTTTCTACAAGCTTGCTTGCGCGCCACTAGAGAATTTTTTGTTTCTGATTTTATTAGCGGTGGTGGCTTTAATCCTGGGCATAATTCTATTCTATTTACGTATATGACGTCGGTGTGGCCTCAATTAATTGCTTAAACGAGTGGTGCTTCTTTTCGGGTACAGTTGTTTGGCGTGTCCTGTCTCTAACGCGATAAACTGTGGGTCTTTCTAACCCGACATTTTGAGACTTTCTTGTGCTGCTTGTGTATTTCTGCCAAATTGCTAGCCACTAGAGAATTATATAGTTGAAACTGTTTGTCTCTGATGTTATTGGTGGTGCGGTGGCTCCAATCTTGCGCGTGCTACCTTCTTCGTGTCAAGAACGCGCGATTGTTAACGCAGAAGTCCAAGTGACTGGGTTTTCTCTTTTGCTGAAGTCTAACAGCTCCATCTAGACAGGCGATTATATAATGCTTCCCATCCCCTGTAACGGAACCTCCCTTGCGGTTTCGCAGTGGAAATTAAGAATGATACTTATGGTTGGGTACCGATCCAGCCGTCTCACCCAAAACAAGCCATTTTCCGGACCGGTTTCGACTTTACTGTCTTCTTCAGCGGAATTTTACAATTTCAGCTTGTCCGGTCGCTTACTCGCCGTTGGACTGATTGTATTAGGGAACTTAAGATAGAGACGTTTTCGGGGCGACGGCAACTTCAACCGGACGTGACATCATCATTTGTTGGATATTGCGCATGCTCGTGCTCACCACCTTGCCGTCGTAGTCCCGTCGGCAACGTGAAACTGGTCTCTTTGGCGTTGTGGCGAAAACGTGAGTATTTAACTTTCATTTCAATCAGGTTTGTTGCGTTTAGCAACCAACATTTTGCAGATTATCGTTCTTAAATTGTCCTTGTTTTCTTTGAGGCACATTTCAAGCTCGATTTCCAAGCTCTGTTATCTAAACTTACATCTTTGAATGTTTCTATGTTTTCATGTCACAGGGTCAAGATCCAACTTGGCAAACAGCCAACCGTAAGTGAGCTTGACATGGGACAAAATTTTCCCACGAGCCAAATAAAAGTATCCAGACAAAAAATATGAACTCCGATATTTCAATTGTGTTTTTAGTTCGCTCTTTTCGTTAGAATATCGTATAAATGAAACGCATTGAAAATTATATAGAGTAGTACGTAATATCATGTACTAACTCGGCGTGGGAATACTGAAATAAAGTTGTTGCCGTTGTTGGTGTTGTTGCATGCAAGTATTTCCCGGGAATTATTTCAATACCAAACTAAGAATACGGTTCCTTGGTAGCATTTTAAAGTTTCTGTAATTTGCAAGGCTTCGGCAAGCCTGTGGAGACCATTTTTTTTCAACACGAAATTCTGCCTTGAACTCAGCTGCATCCCGCATGTTTTTTAGCGTGAAAGGATCGTAACTGTCCCGAGGAAAATCGGGATTTTTGGACTCATAATTTTCCCACAAAACGAGAAACTCTTCATCCGATACATGTTGTCTGCATAGCAAATATTTATTCTCTTAATTCTTTATGTGAAGCCATATTTTCCTCTTCGGTATTCTTCTAATTAAAGGCGCCGTCCTTCTGAGTTCACTGCGATCTTAATGTTCTATTTTTGACGGGGAGCGACGGCTGCCTTAGTTCCAGGCTTTCTCTGCCAGTCCGGTCGCCGTCGCCCCGAAAACGTCTCCATCTTAAGTTCCCTATTAACTAACACAAAAACGCCAAATAATTGCTCGCGAGAAAGAACTACTCATTAATAAATTAATTGATGACATACCCAAGTCATTTACGTAATAGAATTTTGCGCAAGAGTAAAGACATCACCGCCACAATAATCAGAGAAAAACAGCTCCCTAGTAGCAATTAGGTTAAAACTTCAAAAGTCAGGGGCACCCAACGGCAATTTTCGAGAAAATATCTGTTCGGAAGACGATTTGAAATCTAGAATTTTCGGAGCATTTGTTGTAAAATTTCTTGCTTTCCTGCCTCTCCTAGGATTTTCGAACATCTACAAAATGGTATAATTACCCATTTTTAACGGATTTTGACCCTAAAAAAGGCCACCTAGAATTTTCGGGAGCCTTTTTCTTGCTGAAATTTTCGAAAGTTTTTATCCCTATAATTTTCGGATCACTAGACTTTCAGCTAGGAAATCCGAACAGATGAAAAGTTTTTAGGGGATAAAAATATGCCTGTATCTACCGTTTGAATACTAAAATACGTTCAACAATGCTATGTTAAGTGGTTTTGAACCATATCCTCGTTTGGTGCCCCTGAAAAGTAGCACATGCTAGCCTCAAATTGTAAGGATAGAGAGACATTTAGATTTAAAGTTTTCCGCGTTAACACAAAAAACGCCAAAGAATTGTGCACGATAATAAGTACAACTCGTTAATCAATCTATTGATGCCATACCCACGTCATACACATAATTGTAAATTTATGGTATATAAAGAGTTGTGACACATAGTTTGTGACACATAATGGACATTATTTCAACTTCCCTCCTTTCTGTGTAGCGTCAACTAGCTTTTATATCAAGGCATTTTTAGGATAAGAAGTACGCTGAAAACTCTGCGTGACAAAGAGCTCCGCGTGGCGGCTCACTCGTTTGCTGAGGAGGTCAGATATTAAACACAGAGTCGAATTAGGTTGGAGAAAATTTGGCAACCATAAAAATCGCAACTATGGTATGGAAGTCGTTTAGGCAAATGACAAAGGCATATTCCGCAAATTTATTTAGCAACTAAAGCAGACGTAAAAGGACGATTTTCTGAAACTGCGAAAACAAATTTAGCAAAACAGACCGAAGTTAAAGCGAATGACAAAAGACACTGAGAAAATTTTGCTAAGCGTATTATAAGTAAGAGAGATTTTCTCGGCAACTGCCAAAACGATTGTTAACAAAAAGTTAAGCGTCAATTATTTATCACCATGCAATGCATAAAACATTCTTGGCCTTTTCTCTTTGTAAGTTAGAATTTTGTTAAATTTGTTATTGTTGCTATTCTTGCGATATTTGTTACCCACTCTTTTTAGATTAAACAAGGACACTTCTTGTTAGTTTTGCGTTTTTTTGCAAAAAATTGGCGGACTTCTTCAGACCTTTCTTTGCCTTTTCTCTTTCTGAGTCTCTAATTTTGTTAGATTTGTTATTCCCGCTATTTTTGCGATATTTGCAGAGGAAATGTCTCACAAAATGTTATTGTGAATCATTTTTTTGGCTAAAATAGCGAAAAAAAAAAAATGGCACGTAAATTTTTGCGATCTCCAAATTTAGTAAGGGAGAGGACAGTCAATTTATGGCCAATAGGCGGGCTGCATCTACCCATGTTTGTCCTCTGAAAAGAGCGCAAACATTAACAAGGGTAACAAGTTTACCATAAAAAAATAAAAGCCAAGTATAAAGCAAGTTATGGACCGTACCATTAATGCAAAATTATATGAATATCCCTACAAAGTTTCCCCACTAGTTTTGTCCTTTCCAGAGGCGCCCCTGGTACTTTCATATTTCGATGAGAAGATTGAGGGGTTTTTTGGCTATTTACGTACACAATCTGTATTTAATCATCGATCCCCCTTGGAGTTTTTCAGATTGAAATACAGAATCGCAAGAGGCAGATCAATATCTCACCTCTTTTTCAATTGCAGCCGGTTGTTAATCCTTGTTTTTCTCCCTTTTTATTACTGTTATTTATAGCGCATGGTTACAGTACCTCTTCCAAGTCGTTTGTTTTCTCTCTACTTGATAAAGAAGGGCTTGCGCCATTTAAGAGCATGGTGACGAATACATCATTTCCAATTTACCGTGACCCAAGTTATGGTCCAACATTTGGTGGCGGGCATGACATCTACATTGCTGATAATGCCAATCAGAATGCTAATTCCTACGCTAATTTTGGCACCTCTTACTCTCTTCCAAATGGAATTACCGACAGTTCAACAATCCTGGCTGGGACCCGTTACTTTTCACCCGACGAGGTTGAGGTATTTTATCTCGCTTGAACCCTAAAAACCGCTTGATTTACATGCGCAGAAATCGTTTGAAATAAAAGACAAATTCACCCAAAAATCACGTTAAGACAATACAATACAATACAATAAGGTAAGGAACCTTAAGATACGAGGACGGTCGCCGCGGCGAAAGACACTGCTAACTATTAATCCCCTCTCTTTCAATTTTCAGTGACTCTGTCAAATGTATAGGAGAACTCTCCTGAACAATTTCCAAGTTAAGAAAGAGGAAGGAAAGTTCGTCGACGCTTGTTCGTGTCCTCCAGAAACGTGAAATAAATTAGGGATATTGTACGTCGTAGTCGTGCAATAAGAAGGGCGGTAGAAATGTGCAAAAAGGTGATGCACGTGCAAAGTCGGAGTTTTGATGACTAATTAATTTTAATTTTAATTACTTTTTGGACGTTTTCGCCGCTGTCGTCGTCATTGGATCTTTAGGTCCTTAATCTAAACGGTATCCTACGGTAGGCTTTGATAGATCATGCTCGAAAAAGTAGCATAATATATAATTATGCTTCTAGCAGTGCTGGCATATTTCTAAAATGATTCCAATAATTATGCTAGTTTTTGTAAACTCTGCTCATTTTAACAACAAAAAATAAATGCAGAAATTATGCCTTTACTATTTAGTTAAAAGTTGGTAAAAGCATCTCAATAGTAATATGCAACACTGAATTAAATGGCAAAAAAAAATTACCCTGTTTACATCTAGAAACCTTTAAGAGTGCATTCATTGTCTGACAACTTGGGTAATCATCTTGGGTAACCGTGCATGTTATGCACATGCGTTGATTCCTGTGGAAAGAGACCTGGGTCACTTCCTGTTAGACCAAGGTCCCATGAATGTGATGATATAAGCGGAGAGAGATTGACTTTGTTACTTAAATTTGGCTGTAACTCTGAAAATTGGTTGTATGGTCGCTATCACAATTTTGTTCTGCAAAACGTTAACCAGCCAATAGTGCAAATTACGCTACCAGTGCTTTTTCGAAAAATAGGTGATGATTATGCTCGTGGTGACAAACTATGCATGCCAAAAATTATGCCAGCACAATCTATCAAAGCCTAGCTATGCGACGGTCTGCGACACGATCAGAACTCTGTCTCACGTTGTCAGACTTCCCATGGCCAGGACGTACATCAAAGGCAGATATGTGAATTGTTAGCGACTGCAGTCTTTCCAGGTTTGTTTGAATCTTTTTGGTGCAAAAATGGGTGGTACCGAAACACAGGTCTGTCGACGAGGCGACGTAGAACGGTCTCCGATCCGTGTTCCAGATGACATTTACCGTGTCATTTACGCTTCGTTCACGCGTTTTCGGATATTTTTAAAACGGAGAGTTTTTTGTCCATTCTCCTTTTTTTTTTTTTCCAAAAAAAAAAACAACAAAAAAAAGGATTAAAAAACCGTTAACACGCAACGTAGGGTATTTGAATCGTTTTCGCCGTCTACATAAAAACGGGAAAACGACGGAAATACACTGCATGATAGCATTCCTATAGCATCCCTTACAGAGCATGCGTAACGATAGTAGTTCAGTGATTATGATGTTTTTATACAATCTCTTTAAGCTTCTCAAAGGCCGCGACCCGGGTTGCTGACCAAAAGGATCGCGGCCTTTGGGAACGAGAACGAGTTTTTTTTTATAGTATCGTTAATACTTTTCCGTCCATCCACTAGTAAACGAGAAGCTGGCGTTTCTAAAATCAGTCTACTCCGGAGAACGTTTTTGAAAACCTGCATTTTGGTGCCCGCAAAACCCGCGCCTGTTTTCGTGTGGACGGAAGGCTAAAACGGAGAAAAATATGTACACTGAATATATCAACTAGTAAGAGAGAGTCAATCCGGAACCACTGCAACATAAAGGTTGTTATTGATCGTAGTAATCAAGCATTTGATCCTATGTACCGTATTTATTCGAATAAGCGCCCAACCTCGAATTAGCGACCACCTCGAATAAGTGCCCATCCTGAAGGCAGAAACATTTAATAAGCGCCCAGCCTCGAATAACCGCCCACCACCACCCCACCTCCCTCCTCCTCAAACTCAAACTAAAATAAGCGCCCAGCCCTTCGAATTCCTGGTCCCTCCCTTTCAAAAAACCTTAAATAAGTACTAATAAGAGACTTGCCAGAAGACGGAGTTTTCTTCAGAGTATTTTACAGAAACCTTGCTTTGTTACATCTTCGCGTTTTATTAGTACCATTTACTGTATTGTTGCAAAATTAACATACTACACTTGTTGAAATTGGTGAAAGTTTAATAAGCGCCCAGCCTCGAATAAGCGCCCAGCCTCGAATAAGCGCCCACCTCGAATAACTGCCCACTCTCAAGGTCCAAAAATTTAATAAGCGCCCAGGGTGGTTAATCGAATGAATACGGTAAATTTTAATTCATAAGTTTTGAAAAAGAAAGAGGTACTTTGCTACTTCTGCATGGTATGATTTTAGTTACATTTGCATAAAGCTTACAAAGGTATTAGGGTCTTTCTAGAAGAGCTAGCTATAGCTTGGAGAGCTACCTATTACGCATGCGTCACCTGTTATACAATATCAGTGCACGATTACAGCCAGTTAATAATGACTTCAACCTAGAGATATTAAGACTCTTCGTGCCTAATCTCGTACCCAGATTTGACATCTGCCTTGCCTTGGGATATCTGGGTACGAAATTAATGCAGTCAGGTAATATAACTGAGATTTATATTTCCAGCTGTGAAAGTGTGACTTAAAGTTTAGTCAGGCTAGGTCCTAGGCGTTCCGTCTTGCCCAGTTGTTGTCGCAAAGTATGGGAAAGGGTGAGCGCGTCTCTTCCTTCTCGGTTTCGTCACAGCTCACGGCAGAGTCCAGGCCCGGGTTCTTAGAAAGCCGATTAGCGCTAATCGAGGATTAAATCTCGCAAATCGCGGAATACATTTTGCCCCACGATTAGATCCTGTTCCTGAAAGCATGATTAACCTTAATCTAGGAATAAACTAAGTGTTAATTTTAACCCACCTAGCGAGGTCGATTAAGTCACTAATCCTTTTTAACCCACGATTAGTTATCCAAGGAATAAGAAAATTAATCGTGGATTTGACTCTAATCGGAGGATAGTTTAATCGGCTTTCCAGGAACCGGGGCCAGGAGGTTTGATTGAGCCAAGAACGCCTCAAAGGTTAAAGGTTGTATTCACACTATATTGGATAGCTTTGGGCTTTTGCACTGACAAGAAAAACATACCGGATAGGGCTTCTGTTCACACATAAAAACGGTGATTTTAGCGCGATTTCTGTAACGGGGTGAAGCTACGCCTCCCCGATCTCAAACGTAGAGAGTCACATATTGGATATGCGTTCACACTATACCCAGCTTTTCATATGGGCACTAAATTAACGATATCCGTTACAGTGTAAACAAGCCTTTTCTGAAGTCCTGTAACACGAGCTCTAATGTATCGGTCAAATCGAAGCTTCAACATGCCCCCCCGGGCATCCCCCGGGCATTTGACACCTTTGACGTCCCGGGGAGGAGGGAATTTGATTATCAGAGTCTTCTAAGGGGTGGGGAATTTGATCCCCATGCTTTAGGGGTGGGGAATTTGAACGGCACCCTCGATTTCATGTAAAATCTTTGGCGTGGCGACCTATCAAGCGGGACGCGGTGTTAGAGGATTTTCGTGGAAAAGATTGTGCCTTTGTGGCCAATTGGTTACGAGGAAAGGGCTTAAACAAGCTTTGTGCCGTATTTGAAGTATTTAAATTTTAAAATTTTAAATACTGGATTCAGGCTTTGAATGTATGAACGTATTTCATTGTTGTGTTTACAATGAAATACAATACCTATACCGGCGATTCAATACAACAACATATTAAATAAAATAAAATAAAAAGCTCAGGTCAACTACTTTGACCTACTGCAAGTATGTTAATTAATAAGGTGAGCGATGATGCATGTCAGTGAAATGGTCATGATGTAGTAATCTCAATAGGTGGGATCTTTTTTTATAGAACGCTTTGTATGTTGCATGACGAAGAAACGCTGAGCATTCAGTGACCTTGTAGTAGCGATTTCCGCCGCTTTGCACGAGACTTTTGTTCGTAGTAAATTCGCTAATAGTGTTTCTCAGTTTTTGTTATATTTATAAAGACTTTTTTCGACAACTGAAGGCGTTTCCGCCGTCCTTCTGTCATTTTTGTGCCTGTGAAATGTCCCCGGGGTGGGGGCATTTGATCACCTGAATGGACCCTAGTGTGGGGCATTTGAAAGGGATTTTGGCCCGGGTAGGGGGGAATTTGAACAAAAATTTTCAAAAAAGTCAAATTCCCGGGGGGTTGCCCGGGGGGCATGTTGAAGCGTCGATTTGACCGATACATAACCTTAACAATAAAACCCTCAGTCGCGCAGCTGCAACTTCAATTTAACCTATCGGGAAAAAATAAAGGAACTTACGCCTTTGTGAAATGTTGTAGTGCTAGTAATGATCAATAAATGCCAAATTATTAAAGTATTAATTATCAGTCGTCGTTGTATTAAGCTGAAATTTGTTAACTTGTATGTTGTACGCTCAGTACAAAAAGTTGTTTTTATAGCAGCCACTTTTCTTATTAGGGTCCCAAAAAATAAATATATGGATCACAGATCGAGTGAAGTCTTATGAGGAAACGAGTTAAGCAGGATCATCGATCCACGAAGAAAAAACGTAGTATTGTATGTAAACAATAAAATGGATAATCGCTAAATGCAAAATTCAGTATACCTACCAATAACTGAGAAACTAAAATAGTAAGAGAGTGTATTCGGCATACCAACCTTATTTCAAAAGACGAAATTATCATCTGTACAAATTTCCAAAGAGGAATACCAGCACCAATTTTCGAGAAAAAAGTAACAAACAGCAAGAAAAACACAAAAACAAAGGATGGCTTTTCACTTCGACCCTTCGAAGCTTATAATTTCGATGCTTCATTCGCCATAACCGTAATCCCCTTTGAATTTCTACCTGTGAGACT